ACATACAACTACATACAACCACATACAACCACATACAACCACATACACGTACTGAGAGGCAACAGCTCTTCCAACTGTGACTGTGAAGGCTTCATTTTAATTTTACACACCGGTTGAAGGGGAGCGTATAAAAATAAAAGGTGTAATATGGTAAAGTCCTGCAAAGTTAAGTCAAGTCCTCTGGGCAGTTTATTTATGTTGAAACGTTTCATCTTTCATTTCAGTTCAGTTCAATTCAATTTATTGAAATGAGTCATCCAAAAGACTTCTTCAGTCTGAGGAGCCACAACGTTTTGAACCACTTTGGCCATGGCTGCCTCAGACGAGTCGGCGAGGGAGAGGCAGGAGAGACTCCAGAAACCATCTGAGCACCATCAAACTGGTTGACCCACTATGAGAAGGTGCTATTTATAAGACTGAGTTTGTTGCAGCTCCTTAGACTGAAGAAGTCTTTTGGATGAAAGATGAAACGTTTCAACACAAAGAAACCGTCCAGAGGACCTGACTTAACTTTGTTGGATTTTTCTACCTGGATTAGTGAGCATGAACTTTGATATTATGCTAAAGTCTTTGTCCGTCTGGAAACCTTTTCTGACCCACCATCATTTCTGATTAGCTCAAGATAATTTTACAAAACTTGATATGAATCTGTATCACCACTACATGGTGTGTTGCATAATGTTTCCATCATCCCAGCTCCAGGTCAAAACCCAAGGTGTTTGCTTGTTCAGGCCATGGACTGCTGTAAAATAGTTTGTCTATGGGCATAAAATCTGCCACATACAGAGTTCTTGTTAGCTCATCACACTTCATCCAGATCACTGAGGTCTAACAGTCAGATGTGTTTTGATGTTTCAAGATCCAAAGACAAAAGTAGAGGTGATCATGTCTTTCTCTTGGTATCACTAACCTGTGCAGGGCTTAGAAAGGTTCGTGAGGCAACTTAAAACCCACTTCTTCTAATTGTTCTGATGCCGCTCAATAATCCAGGTAGAAAAATCAAACAAGAGATCCTCTGGATGGGTTCTTGTTTGTTTAAACCTTTTGGCTTTTATCTAAAAGACCATCAGTCTGAGATTGTTTAACAAGCTCAGTGTTATAAACAGCACCTTCTCCTAGTAGATCAACCAGTTTTCTTCTCAGACTGAAGAAGTCTTTTGGATAAAAAACTAAACATTTCAACAAACAAGAATCCATCCAGAGGACCTGACTTAACCCCGTTAGATCTTCTACTTGTTGTTCATCTCTAAAAGTTCCTTAGCTTCTGGCAGAGGCGAGGCCTCCTCTCACAAACCCACAAACAATGCTACAAAATATGTAAAGACACATCAACTTTTAGAATGTTTTAACTTTTATTCACTATATTCAATTCATTATTGCAGCTGCTGAGTATAAAAATATTAACTAACATGTTTTAAACTCTTTTATATTCCCACTGAACCACTGACCAGAAGAACAAAACTAAATAAATCTTACCTCCTTCTCTAGCATATTTATTTGGAAATGACAGATTGAACCTTTATTTATACATTGAGTCGCAGGGACTCATTTACACGAGAGACCTGATTATAACAAAGAGTGATGACAACAAAGACAACAATAGACGATCATAAAGGATGCATACAAATTGAGAATAACAAGTGAAAATAAAATGGTATTTAAAAAAAAGTAACAAAAAATCCAGCTAGGTTGTAAGACAATGTAGAAAACTAAAAACAGGAACATGTCTGCAGTGGTTTTTCCCGTGAACTTAGCAGATGTTTAAAGCCACTTGGAGAGGTCAAGGTTGAGAGCTTCAGATCTTTTTGCAAGATATTCCAGGATGTACGCCAAAATGTAGGGATATACTTAGACAGAGGTCTGATCACCTTGTTAACAGGTGTGCAATGAAAAAAGTGAATGCGAGTCGACGTCGATCAAAGTAATAATGGTGAATTCTGGGAAGCGTTGTGATTCCCCTCACTCAAATAAACACTCAACATCCGATCAATCAAAATCACAATTCTGTAACGTTTATTTTCAGTTTGAATAGTGACAATATGGCAAATATTGAATATGAATGAATAACCAGATAGTGTTATTTCAGAAGGGTAAATAATATAAGTTAGTTTAAAAACTTTGAGAAGAGATGTTATTCAGTTTTACGACTAACGTACAGTAAACTGAAAGCCTAAAAACCTCGTTGGCTTGAGCTGTTCCTTTTCATCAGGAGTAAAATGTTTATCCTACTGGGAGACTTCATCACCCATTACCACATGGACATGTGAAAGCCAGAGGTTCACACTGTCTCCGGAGGGATGATTGTCCTCCCGGACCACATCTCGTCCAGTGAGGCGGTTGCCTCATCATTCCAGGGTACAGGGATATTCCAAGATACAGATTGCCCTAGCGTGCAATTTTTATTAGTATTATTACAATTTTATATTTTTGCTTTTTTTTTTTAATCTTCTCTCTAGCTTTCTGAGGCCCCTCTATTACCCCCTGGTGGCCACCCGGGGGGGCCGCAGTCCCCCTTTGAAAAACGCTGTCCTAATGCATCCTCACTGATCCAGGTAGAACTAACAAGGTTGGGTCAGGTCCTCTGGACGGATTCTTCTTGTTGAAACATTCCAACAAAGAAGAATCCATCCAGAGGACCTGACTCTGCGTTGATTGGTATTTTATTCATCTTGACTTTCTGAGAGTTTGCAATTTAGTGCAACTTTTTATTTTATTTTAAAGCTCATCATGAAACATGGCAACACTTAACCAGAAGAAACCATTGAAATGTAAAATGCAGAGATGGGATACTCGGTTAGAAGTAGATGGAACCAAATTCTTATAGGTGATGGTGTTCAATGTAGATATATTAGTAGTTTGAAACATTATAAATGTAATGCCTGCACTGCAGGAGGTGTCCTGGATTTAACAACATAGGAGCTGCTTGAGTTGATCTGCAGTCGTTTGACGTCAGTCAGCAGATGTTTTCACATTCACTCACAGAAGGATGTAATTTCAGCTTCTCACCTCACAGCTGGAAACCTCCCAACTGCAAACACATGGTGAGAGCTGTAGGTCAGGCTATATTTAGTCTCTTCATATTAGGTGTAATCATGTCATTAATCTTTAGTGAACAGAATCCACCCCCGGCTGCTTTCTGAGAATATATATGAGCTGCTGCACCTTATAAAATGTGTTTATTATCAGTGTTGTGTTGCACATGATCCCCGTCTATCAAAATATGATTATTGAAGAATGTAGCATCGTTTTACCATTTGTGCTAATTATTTGATGTTCATCTTAATATTATTTGCCCAGCTCAGAGAACAGTGCCCACACAGGTCTACCTGTGTACGACTGAATGTGTCTTTTGGACGACCTTTATGTTTTGTCTTCTCTTTGCTTCTGTGGTCACTGATGCCTGACGACTCGTTTTCTGTGGTTTCTCATCAGATTCAGTGTTAATTGGTCACGTGATCTTTAAACAAAGCCCGCTGTCTGACAAATCGTCGTTCAGTGACATCTCAGCGGTCCGCTCAGGTTGCCAAGGCTGCTGTCATAGCAACTGAGTCACCAAAGATGGTTTGCTTCCCTTTAGCTCTGTCTTATCTTTGTTTACCTCTTGATCCTGTTTTAACGGAACAGTCAGAAGAGCTCCTTGTGCACTGGGAAGCACAAACTGGAGTCCCCACGAGTAAAGCTTTAATACGACTAAACACTGAATAACGCCCGTCAAACTGATAAAATAGATGTTTCTATAAACCTAAATTCTCACCACATTTAACATCTTGTACATGACAAAATCTTCTGGGTTTTTTATGAAAAACTGATTAAAAAATTACATTCGTTAAAAGTTCCAGCTGCAGTCGTTTTACCCAGTAAACACTTTTTTTTTTTAAATTTCCTGCAGCTAAAGCGTTTGTGAACTCACCCGCTGGAGGATTCTGTGGCCTTGGCAGAAAAATGCGCTCCTTCAATAATTAAGGTGCATGCATGCTGACAGAAAGTGGTTTGAAGCCAAAAACAAAAGCATAAACAGTAGCAGATGATTGCATTTGTGCAAGCATATCAAATCAGTGATCGCTGAAGGATCTCCAGCATGAATTCCTGACATTTTCATCTCCTCTGCCAACGTTCTTCCTCCCGTGGTAGATGTTTGCTTCTAATGTGTTTAAAGTCCTGTCAGCAGTGTGCACACCAGCTTATTTACTCACATTAAATAAGCAAACGAGAATGGAAATAAAGTGTCTCCCTGTCTTTTTGCAGATTGAGAACATAGACGTCTGTCTCAGTTTCCTGGCAGCTAAAGGAGTCAACATCCAGGGTCTGTCTGCAGAAGGTATAAGTTGAACTTTCTCAATCCAAAATGTACATTTAAAACCACACAAGCTCCTAAACTCCTACAGTGGTGCTCAAAGGCGTTGATAATTGACGTTTTGATGTCCCTCCGTCCATCTTCAGAGATTAGGAATGGGAATCTGAAAGCCATCCTCGGCCTCTTCTTCAGCCTGTCCCGCTACAAGCAGCAGCAGCAGCAGCAGCAGCAGCAGCAGCAGCAGCAGCAGCAGGCTCAGAGACAGAGCTCCCAGCCTGCGCTCCCACACTCGGCACCGTGCCAGAACTCACACCCACCCCTGAGCCAGCAGAGCAGCGCTCCGGCACAGCTCAGCCAATCTCCGCATGGGACTCTGCAGAAAGCAGCGCAGGCAGAGATGCAGTCCAGGTGAGCCTCGTCTCCACGCAGCTCAATCACACGACCGAGGGGATGACGCCTCCTGCGTGTGTGTCACAGTCTTCATGTTTCTGCTGTTGGAATCTGCGGTTTTGACATTTCAGTCTTCACTTTTCATGTCATTTAAATGTCTGAACCTGACCTGTCTCTGTCCTCTTCCATGTCTCTCCTCTCTTTTTTTCTTCTCCTCCAGGGATGGTTGTCAGAGTAAACTTCTCAAGTTTTCCATTGGTCAGAAAAAAAGCTCTAGGTCAGCTTCACCTGCCCTTCTGATTTCTTCCTTCCCTCCTTTTCTCCCCCACACCTCCAGTTCCCTCTCCCTTTTTCTGGAAATCAGAAGTTAGAAGTTGCCCCTAATCAAGGACAGCATTTGTTTTCTTTTGCACAGTAATGAGTTTCATGTTGCCTCTTTGTCCATGATTAAGGGCAGTCTCTACTACAAGCACTATCAATAATGCATGAGCGGTGGTGTTCAGCGGATAGGAACTTGAGCTCCAGGCTCTACTTTTGGACGAACTGCTCCGTCTCTGGCATCACGCCTCATTTGGCGAGCCTGCTAAATGGGCTGTGAAAGACCTTTAGATAACCCTTAAGTGAGGGTGTGTGTCTGTGTGTGAAGGTTAGTTTCCCTGACAGGAACATTCTCTGTATAATAGACATTAAAAATTAATGCAGAATCCATAACAGGAAGTGTCTAGGTGATGGATGACTGATTGTTTTTTTGTCCACATGAGCCTCTTTTTATTTCTTTTATTTAGCATGCAGTCTTGTGTGATGTGATAAAGCACCTTGCTACTAAAAGTAGAATGTGGTTTTGCATGCTGCCCATCCCAGATGTTAATAATTTGCCTCTGCCCCCACTCCCCCACTAATTCAATGACCTTTTCAAAGCAATGCAATGTCTCCATCTGCTGGTCACTTTGTATAACTACAAATTCAAAGGTGGTTTTCACCCAAACACAATTTCAACTTTTTATGCATATTTTTTAAATAATTTGTCAAAGGCGACTGCAAATTAGATAAGATTTTATTAAAATGTTTTGCTTTTGAAGCTCAAATAAGTAAGTTAATTAAAATGTTTTTTAATGTGTTGGGTTATTAAGAGGAAAAGTTCTGATCTGATATAGTTACAGTTTAGTAGAGTTTTGGTCAAATACTTTTAAAAACTCAGAAATGACCTGGATTAAACATGGATTAAATACATGTTTTTATTTGTTTAATCTAGTTTTACAGCGTTTGCCAGCCTGTTATTTGTTTATCATCACCCATTTTCATGAAAGGTGGGCAGTCGTACAGTTTGGGTGTTTTTACCTAAGTCTTACAAACAGCTGGACTGATGTTAATGAAACTCTTAGTAACCAGTAATTGAAAATGCATCTACAACTGATTAACTTTGAGGCCAAACCTATTCAAGGTGGATGCCAGAGCTGATTGACCTTAGTTAACACAAAACTGGCTATACATCGGACAGTTTTACACGTACTGAGCTCAGATTTGATGTAGTAGCAGCTCAGAGTCATCACAATCATAAAGTTTAGCACTAAAAGATCATGCAAGACTTTAGTTTAAAAAAATAATGAAGCAGTCTCAGCGGTAAACTAAATGTCACTCGTGTGTCAGAAGAACAGATGAGGTGTTAAACTTAAGGATGCACAATATTGGATTTTTGACCGATATCCGATATGCCAGTATGTTAAAACTTAATTGGCCAATAACCAATACCAATATTTTTTTTCTTAGACCTACTTACAGAGACTACATGTCTGTCTCTGCTGTGGAATTAAAATACTACATTACTGCATGGTCTGTCAGTCTGGCTGCTACCAAATGTAGATGATAAAAAGTGGCTGAAAATGATGCAACACTTCAACTTGGATTATGTTTAATGTCAAATTTATTCATGACATTTATTCTCTAACACAATGACAACACTCGTGCACATTTATACATTTTCACAAATCTAAACTCAATGTGCGCGTGACGTCATAACGTTGTGTTGACGCTGCAGGCGTCCTTGTCACTGGGTTGTCATACAAAAACTAC